TCTCACAAACCCCAGAAAAAGGGTCAAATGAAACTGAACTCACCAAACTTCCTGAAAGAGAGTTCAAAATAAAAATCATAAACATGCTTATGGAGGTGCAGAAAAATATTCAAGAACTCAGGAACAAATTTAAGATGGAGATTCAATCATTAAGAAATTCCATATCTGAAATGAAACATACAATGGAGGGATTTAAAAGCAGATCAGATGGAATAAAAGAGATGGTAAATGGAATAGAAATTACAGAAGAGGAATACAAAGAAGCTGAGGCATACAGAGAAAAAAGTATCTCTAAGAATGAAAGAATATTGAGAGAATTGTGTGACCAATCCAAATGGAACAATATCCACATTATAGGGGTACCAGAAGAAGAAGAAGAGAGAAAAAGGGATAGAAAGTGTCATTGGGGAGGCAATTGCTGAAAACTCCCCCAATCTGGGGAAGGAGATAGTCTCTCAGGCCAAGGAGGTGCACAGATCTTGCAACACAAGGGACCCAAGGAAGACAACATCAAGACATATAATAATTAAAATGGCAGAGATCAAAGATAAAGACAGACTTTTAAAAGCAGCTAGAGAGAGAAAAAAGATCACATACAAAGAAAAACCCATGAGAATATCATCAGATTTCTCAACAGAAACCTTATAGGCCAGAAGGGAGTGGCATGATGTATTTGATGCAATGAAGGAGAAGGGCCTCGAACCAAAGGATACTCTACCTGGCAAGGTTATCATTTAAATTTGAAGGAGGGATTAAAGAATTTTCAGATAAGCAAAAGCTGAGAGAATTTACCTCCCACAAACCACCTCTACAGTGCATTTTGGAGAGACTGCTATAGATGGAAGTATTTCTAAGGCTAAATAGATGTCACACAAGGGATAGACAAAGTACAGAATATGATTGATAACATACAAAGAATGGAGGAGGAATAAAAAGGAGGGAAAAAAGAACATTTAGGTTGTGTTTGTAAGAGCATACAAAGTGAGATAAGTTAGACTGGTAGATAGTAAGTGAATTACTGTTGGACCTTTGGTAACCATGACTCTAAAGCCTGCAATGGCAGTAGGTACATACCTATCAATAATCACCCTAAATGCAAATGGTCTGAATGCACCAATCAAAAGACGAAGAGTCACTGAATGGATAAAAAGACAAGACCCATCTATGTGCTGCCTACAAGAGACTCACTTCAAACCCAAAGACATACACAGACTGAAAGTAAAGGGATGGAAAAAGATAATTCAGGAAAATAATAAGGAGAAAAAAAGCAGGTAATGCAGTACTTGTATCAGACAAAATAGACTTCAAAACAAAGAAAGTAACAAGAGACAAAAAAGGACATTATATGATAAAAGGGTCAGTCCAACAAGAGGACATAACTATTATAAATATCTATGCACCCAACACAGGATCACCTACATATGTGAAACAAATACTAACAGAATTAAAGGGGGAAATAGAATGCAATGCATCCATTCTAGGAGACTTCAACACTCCACTCACTCCAAAGGACAGATCAACCAGACAGAAAATAAGTAGAGACAGAGGCACTGAACAACGTATTAGAACAGATGGATCTAACGGACATCTACAGAGCACAACATCCAAAAGCAACAGGATTCCATTCTTCTCAAGTGCACATGGAACACTTTTAAGAATAGATCATATACTAGGCCACAAAAAGAACCTCAGTAAATTCAAAAAGATTGAAATTGTACCAACCAGCTTCTCACATCACAAAGGTATGAAACTAGAAATAGATTACTCAAAGAAAATGAAAAAGCCCACAAACACATGGAGGCTTAATAACATGGTCCTAAATAATTAATGGATCAATGACCAAGTAAAAACAGAGATCAAGCAATATATGGAGACAAATGACAACAATAATTCAACACCACAAAATCTTTGGGATGCAGTGAAGGCTGTGCTAAGAGGGAAATACATTGTAATACAGGCCTATCTCAGGAAAGAAGAACAATCCCAAATGAACAGTCTAAACTCACAGTTAATGAAACTAGAAAAGGAAGAACAAATGAGGCCCAAAGTCAGTAGCCGGAGGGACATAATAAAGATTAAAGCAGAAATAAATAAAATTGAGAAGAATAAAACAATAGAAAGAATCAATAAAAGCAGGAGCTGTTTCCTCGAGAAAATAAACAAAATAGATAAACCTTAGCCAGACTCATCAAGAAAAAAACAAGAGTCTACACACATAAACAGAATCAGAAATGAGAAAGGAAAATCACTATGGACACCACAGAAATACAAAGAATTATGAGGGAATACTAAGAAAAATTATATGGTAACAAACTGGATAACCTAGAAGACATGGACAACTTTCTAGAAAAATACAACCTTCCAAGGCTGATCCAGGAAGAAACAGAAAATCTGAATAGACCAATTACTGGCAAAGAAAATGAATTGGTAATCAAAAACTACCTAAGAACAAAACTCTGGGACCAGATGGTTTCACTGCTGAATTTTATCAAACATTTAGTGAAGACCTAATACCCATCCTCCTTAAAGTTTTCCAAAAAGTAGAAGAGGAAAGAATACTCCCAAACTCATTTTATGAGGCCAACATCACTCTCATACCAAAACCAGGCAAAGACACCACAAAAACAGAAAATTATAGACCAATACCCCTGATGAACATAGATGCAAAAATACTCAACAAAATATTAGCAAACCGAATTCAAAAATACATCAAAAAGATCATCCATCATGATCAACTGGGATTCATGCCAGAGATGCAAGGATGGTACAGCATTTGAAAATCCATCAACATCATCCACTACATCAATAAAAAGCAGGACGAAAACCACATAATTATCTCCAGGGATGCTGAAAAAGCATTCGACAAAATTCAACATCTTTTCGTTATAAAAACTCTCAACAAAATGGGTATAGAGGGCAAGTACCTCAACATAATAAAGGCCATATATGAATACATATGGGAGAATATATTCATAAATGACATATCTGATAAGGGGTTGATATCCAAATTATATAAAGAGCTCATGTACCTCAACAAACAAAAAGCAAAGAAACCAATTAAAAAACTGGGCAGAGGAGCTGAACAGACACTTCTCCAAAGAAGAAATTCAGATGGTAAACAGGCACATGAAAAGATGCTCCACATCACTAATAATCAGAGAAATGCAAATTAAAATCACAATGAGATATCACCTCACACCAGTTAGGATGGCCAACATCCAAAAGACAAACAACAGCAAATGTTGGCAAGGATGTGGAGAAAGGGGAACCCTCCTACACTGCTGGTGGGAATGTAAAATAGTTCAACCACTGTGAAAAGCAGTATGGAGGTTCCTCAAAAAACTCAAAATAGAAATACCATTTGACCCTGGAATTCCACTCCTTGGAATTTACCCTAAGAATGCAGGATCCCAGTTTAAAAAGACAGATGCACCCCTATGTTTATCGCAGCACTATTTACAATAGCCAAGAAATAGAAGCAACCTAAGTGTCCATCAGTAGATGAATGAATAAAGAAGATGTGGTACATATACACAATGGAATATTATTCAGCCATAAGAAGAAAACAAATCCTACCATTTGCAACAACATGGATGGAGCTAGAGGGTATTATGGTCAGTGAAATAAACCAGTTGGAGAAAGACAAGTACCAAATGATTTCACTCATCTGTGGAGTATTAACAGCAAAGCAAAAACTGAAGGAACAAAACAGCAGCAGACTCACAGAACCCAAGAATGGACTAACAGTTACCAGAGGGAAAGGGATTGGGGAGGATGTGTGGCAAGGGAGGAATTAGGGGGAAAAAAGGGTCATTATGATTAGCATGTATAATGTAGTGGGGGGACACGGGGAAAGCAGTATAGCCCAGGGAAGATAAGTGGTGATTCTACAGCATCTTACTATGCTGATGGACAGTGACTGTAAAGGGGTATGTGGTGGGGACTTGATAATAGGGGGAGTCTAGTAACCATAATATTGTTCATGTAATTGTACATTAATGATAGCAAAATAGAAAAAAAAAAGACATTACAAGAGAAGTATGAACAAATATCCTTCATGAGCATAGATGCAAAATCCTTAACAAAATGTTAGCAATATACTAAAAGGATAATGCAGAGCACTATGAATATATGAAAGATCTACTAATATATTAAAAGGACTATGCAATGAAATTTATTTATATATTTATTATAAAAACAGCAACAAAGCTATCCAAGCTGGAATCTTCCCAGCCTTCCTGAATAAGGAAGTAAGGTATATCTGAAAAGGAATCTTTATCTTCTAAAATAATAAATAACCATCAATCAAGGCCTCAAGCCTCAAATGTTGGCTGCGATCTGTGCCCTTGGTTGCCCCCGGGTGCTCTGCGTACTGATATCCTAGGACTGTATAGCCTGGAGCCCTCTTTATCCAGCAAGCTTTCTTACAGCACTGCAAATGCTGACTTGTGGCTTGGCCCTGTGGGTGTGTGGATCCAGAAGAGCTGAACGGGGGGATGTCTAAGGTTGTCAAGATACACATAGCAAAGAAAGTCTGTTTTTCAAAAGTTTTTGATAATAGCTCCGTCTTTCTGACTAAGAAGGTTGAGACAACTTTGTCATGAAACACAAAAGAGTGACCAGTCTTGTGTAGGCTGCCCATCTCTGTCAGGTCACATGGCTTACACCTTATATGATCTCCTGACTTTTGGGAAGAAGAATCTGGAGGCCATACCTCCTGTCGTTTCTCATTTGATAACTTCTTAAGATGGGGCTTCTAGTGAGGCCTGTGAGACCTTTTTGTGGGTACACATACCCACTGTCTGCCATTCCATTTTTGTACTCCCAGGCCTTCTCTAAAATCATGTGTAAAGACCAAGATAGGTCAGTCCTTCCCTCTCAGGTGAAAAAAGTCACGTGGCATGGTTAACAAGCTGCAGTGAAATCATTTTCCCCATGATTTAACCCAAGCACCGAGTTTTGGAAGGTGAACAAATAAAATCTCTTAATTTTCTACTCACCATGTTAAAATCTGTGTGAATTCCAGCAAACCATTTTCTCCTTCTTTTCCTTTTCCATCTATGCCATTATCTGCCAAACATAATTTCACTAGCTTCAGTCAAATGTTTAATTTTTCTTGATTCCTACAAGAAAATTAGAGCATTTTATTATTTTTAGGCAGTCATTGCCCCATTTACCACCAGATAAGTTGAATTTATTTTTAAGATTGTACTTATTTTGACTTGCGTTGAGTAGGTACATTCTGCCAAATAGGGAAATATGTGTAATTTAAGAGTCCTTTAAAAAATACTCAGTACACAAGTATCATAATTCTTCCAAGTGGTAAAGATACCTCAAGACAAATGCTGGGCATAGAAGCCACAGGGCATAAATCTGCAAAAAAGTAAAAAGCTAATCTTTTCAAACAATATTGCTTCTCTCT